GCAGTGATTTATTGTAGAGATGAGGTCTCGCCAAGTTGCCCAGGTGGGTCTCGAACCCACGGGCTCAGGCAATCCACTCACCTCGGCCTCCCAAAGTGCGGGATTACAGGCTGAGCCACCCAGTCTGGCACAATACTACGTATAATTGTGAAAATGCAACAGAACAATTTAAATGGACAAAATAGACAAATGGTTAATTTAAAAGAAAATGTGGCATGTCAAATCAAAGGTCTATTGTGCATTCTTGTTTTTTTTTTTTTTTTTTGAGTTGGAGTCTCACTCTGTCGCCCAGACTGGAGTGTAGTGGCCGCTCCCAGCCACCACAGCCTCGACCTGCTGGGCTCCGGTGATCCTTCCACCTCAGCCTTCCGAGTAGATGGAATTACAGGCACACACTACCACGCCCGGCTGATTTTTCTGATTTATTGTAGAGATGAGGTCTCGCTGCCCAGGCGGGTTTCGAACCCGCGGCTCTGGCAATCCACTCACCTCAGCCTCCCAAAGGCGCGGGATTACAGGCTATTGTGCATTCTTAAAGTGATTATGACAAAGAATGGGTAAAAATATGGGAAAATATTTATTACTGATACCAAGTTTAAAAGTTGTATAGCACAATGACTAGAGGTACATAGAGGGACAGGCAAGTGCAGTGGTTAAAGGCACAGACTCTGAAGACTGTCTGGGCTTGAACTTTAGCTCCACTACTCACCAGCGTGTACTATGGACAAGTGGCTTCTCCATGTTTTTACTTCTGTCAAATGAGGATAATAAAGATACTTTTCTAGCAGGCTGTTATGCTAAATTAGCATTTAGAAAGTTAAACATGCAACAAAAATAGTTTGTTTGAGCCATGGAATTGCAAATGACTTTCTTTTTAGAAAAAATATACTTTTCCACTAATTTGGCTCTTATTTTATTATTACGTTTTCTTTTTAGAGATGAGGTCTTGCTGTATTGCCCAGGCTGGTCGCAAATTCCTGGGCTCAAGCATTCCTCCCGCCATGGCCTCCCAAAGTGCTGGGATTACAGGCACAAGGCACCACGCCCAGCTGGTTTTCATTTTAAAGATCTTAAAAAATAACAACAACCAAACCAAAGAAAAACATATTGCTTCTTTACCTGATGGGCATAAATAGTATCATAAATGAGTGTCCACATGACTCCAGAAAAATAAAGAGGCAGGCAAATGGATGGCTCACAGGAACCCTTGACGGCAGACCAGCCAAGTAATGCACCCCAGTTAAATGTCAACCCTGCAATCAGGAAAACACAGAAGGGGAGATGTCCACAGGTGCTTCAAATTTCAAAGCGAAAGAGGGCGTCTCATGCATCAACGTTTCTGAAATCAGGCTGTGTGTGCATAGATTTCCAGATGTTCTTTCACTAAATCCTCTTAACCCTCTGTGGTAAACATTAGTTCCATTTTACAAAAAAGGAAACACTCAGGAAGCTTAATCAAAATAACATAGCTAAGAGAAAAAAAATAATATCCTCCAAGAAAATAAACAGCAGGCTTAGTGAGGACATCAACCCACCTAGTACTGCACCTGGCACAGCTACCAACGTACACCTGGCTGACCCAAGCCTAGTTCTCTCCGTTACCACCTAGCCTCCCTCATGAGTTATAGAAACAGGAGTTCAGCCGGGCTCGGTGGCTCAGCCTGTAATCCCGCGCCTTTGGGAGGCTGAGGTGAGTAGATTGCCTGAGCCCGCGGGTTTGAGACCCGCCTGGGGAGCGAGACCTCATCTCTACAATAAATCAAAAAATCAGCCGGGCATGGTAGCGCATGCCTGTAATTCCAGCTACTCTTGGAAGACTGAGGCGAAAGGATTGCCGGAGCCCAGCAGGTCGAGGCTGCGGTGGCCGGGAGTGGCCACTACACTCCAGTCTGGGCGACAGAGTGAGACTCCAACTCAAAAAAAAAAAAAAAAAAAGAAACAGGAGTTCAGACAGGAACACCTGTTTACTCCACATCAACCCTCCCTGAGGACTGCAAACACCCCTATATGCTGACAACTCCCACATTTCCACCTGCAAGCCTGCCGCTTCCAGGCTTCAGACTAGAAGTTGAAGCGTCTGCTGGAATCTCTACCTGCAAGTCCCTCGGTCACTTTAAACTCAATGTGTCCAGGAGTGTTTCTCAGAAACCTTTCTTCTCCTCTCTTGCCTACTCCATCACATTCCCACTCAACCAACTGACAAAGCGCCTCTCCTGGTGTCCAGGTGTCTTTCCCAGAAGCCCCTTTCTCCTCCCATGTTGCTTATTCCCCTTGACTATGTGCTTCTCCTGGTGTCCAGTGTCTTCTCCTCCTCTCTTGACTACACCATCAGATTCTTTCTTACTGACTTAGTGCCCCTCCTAGAGGTCCAGTGCCTTCTCTCAGAAACTGCTTTCTCCTCCCAGATTGCCTATTCCTCCTTACTGACTAAGAACCTCTGGGGGGCGGGGGGACATGTCTCATGGCGTCATGATGCCACACAGTACTACAATCACCTGTTCATCTGTCATCTCCTCTGCTCAAGATGGTGCATGTATTTTAGTCATTTTTATTCTCCCGTACCGGGTATAATTCCTGGCACAAAGTAAAAGAAAAGGTTCAACACCAGCTTCTTAATGTTATCTTATAGATAGGGAAATGTTTATGCTCCTTTTACCAGATTCCAGGTCTGTTGAGAATATAATTTTCTACCTTAAAAAAAAATGAAAAGAAGGCTGGGCGTGGTGGCTCATGCCTGTAATCAGGAAGCCAAGATAGGAGGATTGCTTGAGCCCTGGCGTTTGAGACTAGTCTGAGTAACGTAGTGAGATCTCATCTCTACAAAAAAATTGGCTGGACAAGGTGACATGTGCCTGTAGTCCCAGCTACTTGGGAGGTTGAGGTGGGAGGTTTGCTTGAGTCCAGGAAGTCAAGGCTGTGCTGAGCCATAATTATGTCACTGCACTCAGCCTGGTGACAGGGTAAACTGCTATCAGAAAATAATAATAATAATAATAATAAAAAGAGAACATTCAAAGAGAGCATCATAGAAAAGAATAAATACCCACCACAACTTTCCCACAAGTCAGGTTCACATCAATTTCTAGGAGTGTTTTTTGGTTCTTTTATTTACTGAAAAAATGGTTCAAAGAACTAGAAACATTCTAGGAATATTCTAGAAACAGAAAAGTCTAGTAGATATTTTTGTAACTGATTCTGACTTAATTACCTACCTATCTTCCTCTTTTCTCCAACAAATATGTATTTGATAACTTCACTGAGCCAATTGCCATGCTAGAGGCTGGGTCACATGTAAAGAGTGCCATACCTTTTAGTCATTTACAATTTATTAGTGGGAGACACAGGAGGTTCTAATATATTCTTGCTAAATTCATGTTGCTGAAATGAGTAAGTCCACATTAGAGTGCCATGGCAACCCAAAGGAGACTGTCTCACGTCTAAGAGGAGCCATCTAAGCTGTCACACATTTTAACCCTTGCTCTCCTGCACAGTGTTTCCTGTCCCATTCTCCAAATTCCTCAGGCATCTAGATCAACCACCTTTACATGACTTTTTTTGTAGGTCAAGCCTGTGGGTTGAGCCGTGATTATGTCACTGTACTCAGCATGGGTGACTGAATAAGATGCTGTCTCAAAAAAAAAAAAAAAAAAAAAGAGAGAACATTCAAAGAGAACATGACAAAGATTTTTTAAAAACCATTATAGAAAATAATGATGACAACCTTTTTTTTTTTTTTTTAGTCCATGTCTCACTCTATCGCTCAGGCTGGAGTACAGTGGCATGCTCATGGCCACCACAGTCTCGACCTGCTGGGCTCAGGTGATCCTTCTGCCTTAGTCTTCCAAGTAGCTGGAACTACAGGTGTGCACCACCACACCCAGCTAATTTTTTATTTTTATTGTAGAGACGAGGTCTCGCCAAGTTGCCCAGGCTGGTCTCGATCCCCTGGATCCAGGCAATCCTCTAACCTCTACCTCCCAGAGTGCTGGGATTAGAGGTATGAGCCATTGCGCTTGGCCTAATGATGATAATCTTAATAAGTACACAAGATTTCTTAGTTAATAAACATGGCTAATTGCCTTCCCTTAAATATGAAATCTTGGTTTAGAAAATTTCATGACTGATTTAACATTTTATCTTGGCCCCTCTACCTACCTACCTACAAAAGTATAGTTTGAGAATACCAAGTGAAATACGTAGAGTTATTTCAAGCTCACCCAGGACTAATTGAGGCCAGTATGTAATTCTTTTCATTAGTGGGTAGGTGACCACAAGTAGTAAGGATGCTGCTCCCAGAGTTATACTAAAAACAGGAGAAATCATTAAACATTAACATCACTGTCTCTTAGAAATCACTGAATACTTTAACACAACAATATTAGTAGTATTAATTGGAAAATACTTTTTCTCTTAAATTAAATTCTTTAAGTTCTCGTCCTAGACCTTGTCTATTATAAAGGATTAGAAAAATATTTAAAATGTGAATAAACACACACAGTACTTTCACACATTAGGCACATGCTTTGTATCTGTTAATGACAGCCCCACGAAGTGGGTGACTTTATTCTTCTCTTTTGTGGATAAGGAATCTGAAGTACAAGAGATTAAACAAGTTGCCAAGTACCTACAGTTAGTCGTAGAGCCCAGATTCAAACCCAAAGCAGCCACTCCAGAGTCCAACCTGGAGCCACCATGTGCTACTACTGCCTCTCTGAACTGTCTGCAAATATCAAGGCATTTGTAAATGGAGCCATCTTAACTGAGAATTAGAGTCAGGCTATCCCTCTGTATGTGCCAGAGAGAAAAGCACCTATGAGAACATGGTAAAATATTCTTAGGCACCTGGAAGTTCATCTAAGACCAGCCCCCCAGTAATAACCTTCCAAAGGTGTTTTCATGTTATGGACGCTGTCAGGGCAAGACGTGCAACTACATCTAATTTTTATAAAGTAACTTATTTGCTGAAACCCATCTCTGTCTTTTTCCTCATCAAAACACTCTGTAAGCAGCAATCTGATGCATATACATTTAGTTCTGTCTCTGTTTAAGAGATACAGAAATGAGTCCTCCCACCTTTTTCTTTTTTTAATTTTATTTTAAAGATGTGGGGTACAATTCAGGATTAGGTATACAAGTGGTTATCGTACAGGTAAGGCTTGGGTCTCCCTTTGGTCCCCACTTTGCCTGGTTTGAGATCAGGCAAATTGATGTTGTACCCTCCCACCCCCTTTCCTTCAGTCACTGGTTACTAACAAGACCCTGAGAAAGACGTAGTTCCTCTTTTTGCAAAACGGGTATAAACACTTCTGCTTCCAGAGACACGTCGGCATAAAGTTACATATAAACCTAGAAAACCTACATTTGTGTCCCTTGGTGAACACGCATGGACAAACACCAAAAGTAGTTCAGAATAAATTAAATGCTGATCCCTTGACTCCTGTGGCTGAAAGCAGACATGAAGCAGATTTTACAGCATGTGGTAAGCTACTTATTCATGCTAACTTACAGGTGCTGACAGGTATCCAACAGACAACTTTGTGATACTTTCACTTCATTTTAATCCTGCTTTCCCCATTTTAAAGGAGAGCTTTTATACATGATTATGAAAAACACATTTAATATACCTGTAATAATTCAGACACAGAAGAACACCCAGTGCCAAGGTCAGTTGTCCTCCAAGAAAAACAAAGGACTGAAGAGTTGAAATGTCTCCAGCAGCTATCGGGCGATTTGCTGTTCTTGTAACCTTAACACATAAAAACAGACACCTCAGCCTCATGAAAGCCTTAATCATTTATTTCACCATTTAATCAAGAGACTGGCCCACGGCAGACACTGAGGCATAAGTGTAATGAAGAGTGAAACCAACATTTGAAGGACTGCCAAGAATCAAAACTTCATATTTGAAACAGTTTTGAAAAGAACTACAAATTCCCACCACAAACTCTCCTTTCTCCATCTCTGAACAAAAGAAACAAAACAGCTTTCTTAGCTAGCTATTCAGCTTGGCAACTGTAAATTCATTTCCATGGAGAAAGCCTAGAATATTTACTAACTGGTCCTTTATAGAAAGTTTGCTGATCGGATTACTTATATCATGCTTCACTGTGTAATAAAGCAGCTAGTCAATAACTGTGAGTAATGACTCACCCGGAATCTTTTCTTCCTGATCTGGTTCCTATTTAGGTTTTGTAATTGTTCCAGGATATCATATATCACCATTATTCTAGCTATTGATAGTATCTAAGTGTTTACAGTATGCTACTATTCTAAGAGCACCTTGACACTGAATCCCCCCAACAATCCTGTCTCAGGCATTCACAACTTCTTGCCATTTCTAACATGGCTGAAACTGAGGCAGAGGCTCGGTGACTTTCTAAGGTTCCAGATGCTATCAGGGGTAGCAGAGCCAGTCTAGTCCCCTGACCACACAGATAAACAAAAGATTACACTGCCTCTTTAACTAAGTTTGGAAGTTGTATATAAACAAGCACTCCATCAAAAGACTGAAAACGACGTAATATAAAGATCAAAGCATATTCTATGAAGTTTCTATGAAACCAGAACACTCAGCTTACAAAACCAAATCATGACTGCCTGTGTGTTGAGATTACTTCAGTGTTCTCAACCTAATGTATATCAGATGGTCATATGGCCAGTAGATTATATACAACATCAGCAAACACACCTTAGTGCACAGACCCTGATAGCAATTCACTTATTGAAAGTGTTAGTACCTTGCTTAACATGCAATATATTCAGGAAAAACCTGAGCCATTACCATGTCCTTAATGATATATTGCCTTGAGAAACTGAGGCAAACATTATAATTTGGCCAAGTTTTAAACTCATCATTTAAAAGAGATGCATATAACATTTAAAAATTAATGTTAGCAAAACCACCTCAATAGCTACAAAATACTCATTAGGGTGCTTTGCTGTACATCAGTTTGGAATCTGGACTCTTACCAGGCACAGAGGCTCATGACTATAATCCCAGCGCTTTGTGGGCTAAGGTGGGAGGATTACCTGAGCCCACAGGTTAGAGACCAGTCGGGACAACTTGGTGAGATCTCATCTCCACAATAAATCAAGAAATTAGCTAGGCATGGTGGCACACACCTGTAATTCCAGCTACTTGGAAGGTTGAGGTGGAAGGATCACCTGAGCCCAGGAGGTCGAGGCTGCAGTAGCCATGAGCACGTCATGCACTCCAGCCTGGGTGACAGTGAGACTCGTGACTTACATAAAAAAAAAATAAACAAATAAAAAAAAATAAAGGCTGGGCTTAGTGGCTGAGCCTGTAATCCCAGCACTTTGGGAGGCTGAGGTGAGTGGATTGCCTGAGCCTGTGGGTTCGAGACCCGGCCAGGCAACTTGGTGAGACCTCGTCTCTACAATAAATAAAAAATTAGCTGGGTGTGGTAGTGCACGCCTGTAGTTCTGGCTACTTGGAAGGCTGAGGCAGAAGGATCGCTGGAGCCCAGAAGGTTTAGGCTGTGATGGCCGGGAGCATGCCACTGCACTCCAGCCTAGGCAACGGAGAAACTCCAGCTCCAAAAAAAAAAAAAGAAAGAATATGGATTCTTCTAAAAAATAGCGTGGAGGGAGATGTAAGACATCTAATCGATTTCCTTTACTCAAACGAGGAAAAAAACCATGAAAGGGGAACTAAAATGGTCATATTTTATTAATTAAAAAATACAAAAAAGTTGATTTGAATATACTATTTTCAATAAAGCTTTTGGAGATAATTATAGATCCACATGCAGTTTCAAGAATTATACGGAGATCCCAGGTGCCCTTTGTCCAGTTTCCCCTAACAGTAACATCTTGTAAAAAAACAAAACAAGGCTGGGTTCGGTGGCTCAGCCTGTAATCTCAGCACTTTGGGAGGCCGAGGTGAGTGGATTGCTTGAG